TGAGGGGGTTGAGTCGTCGGCGTGTCCGTTGCAGTGGCAGGGCTGGCAGCTGGGGAAGCCCCAGAAGCCGGGCAGGCAGCGGTCGCACTGCCGCCCGTACACCCCGGGGAAGCAGTGGCACTGGCCCGTCTCCACATCGCAGAAGGTGTTGTAAGAGCCTCGGACGTGGCACTCGCACGCTGCAAGGAGAGCAGGAGAGGGGCTGTGTTTCCACGGCAAGCCCTGAACACAGGGCCCCGACTGCAGCACAGCCCAGAGCCAGGGTTTAACGTACGTCGGCATCCACTCGGCCCAAACCCGAAGGTGCCAGGGGCGCATCTGTCGCATTGCCTTCCGACAACGTTGGGACGACACTGGCACTGTCCTCCGCTGGGGTCACACACCGAACTCAGGGAGCCCTGGGGGTCACACTGGCATGCTGAGTGGAGAAAAGCATCAGGGAGAGTGAGCACCACAGTGCAGGACATGAACCACCTGTCTCACCCCACTCACACGCCTTCCCCGTGCAAACCACTCTGCCTGCAAGCACCCTCCAGCTCCAGGCACAGTTTGCCCTACAAGTAGATGGTTACGTACATAATGCGGTCTCGTGTAACAGCGCAGAAATGCTGAATATGATGTTCTTGCAGACGTCTGTCATGGGGGTTTTCACAACACTCCTGCTGTTTTCCAGACACCGGTACCTTTGGAAAGTTTCCCAAGCACTGTTTGTGACCACGTCTTCGCCTGAGCCTCCCACTGTGAATATGTCCAGCGATTTGCAGTGTGGCATGAGAACAAGCTACAAAACAATTTTACAATGTCAAAGTGTCACTTTTTACAAATAGCCTCCACCAAAATTGTGAAAATTAGGTATTATCCCACTTCCTATCATCCTTTTTTGGCCAAAAAGCAAACACCCAGACAGAACATGGAAGGCAAATCATGGTATTTCTCTAGTTTTTGGTGGAATAATTCTGGCATCTAGCAAATTCTTACCAAACCTACCAAATTCTATCCATTCAAGAGAAGAAGGTTGACATTGACATTCATGACATACATGACATTCAATAGCCTCTCCAAAGAAGCTACCCGCCTGCAGAACTAGCTGCAGTCCTGTAAAATACAGCAAAACCTCTCAGCAGAAAAACAACCCACATATTTTGAGACTGAAGAAACCTACGCTGCTTCACATTGTTGAGTTAAAATCTGGCTTCAGCCATAAGCAACGATCTTGTAAAATATTACTTTGGATTTACACAGACGCATGCCAGAGGAGAAAAAAACATTTTCAGGCTTTTAAATACGCTTTTACCCCAGAGCATCCCTGAAATAATTCCTGCTCACAGAGTCAATGAACGTGTAGGGGCTCTCCGTCTCCGTATCCACCGAAGAGTACTGGGGCAGCTCCAGGCGGATGGTGTAATTCAGCCCCTTCTCGAAGCAGACGGGCCGTGGGAGAACAACATATCTGGATTAGGAACAGGAAGCAATTCTTACTTCAAACATCCAGCACCATAAAGTGTTTCAGGTGGCCCTATAAAGCAATCGAGATAACGGAAAGCAGCCAAGACCGGGCAGAACAAAAGCTATGATGTAAAAGAGGCAGTTTGGAGGCTTGTGCAAGTCAGAACCGGAAAAGCTTATCGGCAAGGTAAAGAGTCGTACCGATGTTCACTCACAGGTCGTGCAAACACTTCCCCCCCAAATCAAATCAGAAAATAAGAATAAACTGAAAAATTTTGAGTCTACAGGCACAATGCTATATATGTTTTTATAACCCATTGGAAATTAAATTTCATCCATTTCCAGAGAGGCCACAGCAAACTGAAAACATGACATCACTCTGTTTCAGTGTTTTAAATATTTCTTCTCCTTTTGGCCCACCCAGTTATACTGACCTGGAGCCGGGTGACAGTGAGACGACCTGATTATCATCATCAGGAACTGTATTACCACACCGGCTACCCGTGGGAATCTTGCCTGGGCGCGAGACGCTGATCACAGCTTTTTCCCACTGATCTGGCAACTGCGAGAAAAATAAAAGTTGATCGGCACCAAGCAACAGCCATAAGCTCCCAGGAGCATCCGGAGCTCAGGCCAGGACAAGCGCGCGCACGGATACGGTGGTCACTGTGCTTCAGCAGGGATGGGGCTGCAGCTCCAGAGTCAATGCAGCATCTACCGGCTGCAGGCGTGGGCTGAGACAAGGCAAGGCATCCTCCAGCACGACCGCCCCTCTCCTTACCGCCCAAAAAACCATGACTAGGTGTAGCGGGTCAGCAGCCCCATCTGCAGCACAGCATCAGTGGGGGCTTTGGTGACCTCCTCTCCCCCCACGTCTGGGTACTGCGCCCAAGTATTTCACTGCAGTCAATTGCTGCCAAGCTCTAGGTAAGGAGCTGGGGGGATTTTTCTCTTACCCTTCATGCTGCAAATTATCCACAGTCCAAACTGACTGTTTGCAAACTCTGGGCTGCAGGCATTCAACATCCAAGAAGGGCCATTTGTCTCCTAAGGCGCATAACGGTGTTTCCATCCATTAGAAGGCCTTCTGTCTGATGCCAAATTTATATTCTAATCTGTCCTGACAGGACTTGTCACTTTTTCATTTGCTCATTAAACAGGTGCTGAAACAACACAATAATGAACAAAAAAGCAAATAATACTAGCGATAGTCCATATCTTCTTGGATTTTAACACATCTCAGACATTCAACTGAGCGTCCATCCTTGTCTGAGTCCTGATGACTCATGGAAGCGCCAGGCTCCTGTCAGTCATGTACCAGCACAGCCAGTGCCTGCCAAGAGGCAGCAGTGCCCGTACTCACAGACCTACCTGCGGCTCGTAGCGGACCAGAATATCGTACTCCATGGAGTAGGGGATGTTGTCGATGTAGAATTCCAGGTACGCCCCCTCAGGGACCCTTACAAATCCTATGCCTGTCCACGATGGTGTGCGGTCCGGCGTGTACTGGCGCTCTATTATGTTTACTCCCTACAGAAACAGGGAACAGAGACCTTAATACCAGTACATTAAATTTGTGAGCCCCACAGGAGTGCATGGAGTGATGAGTTCTGCTGATGGATCACTTCTGGATCACACCATCCATCTTTTGCATCTCAGAGAACACAAATTCTCTTTTAAACCCACTCGCATGCACACTGTTGCCCTTCTGTTTAACAATATACAAAAAGCAAGAAAGGTAAAATAAAACTACACTGCACAAGCCTTCATCCATTTCTCTGTTATAGTGGGGAATGAAATTTAAAAACTTGCTGTGCGTAACTAACCCACCAGCTACGACATCTCATTTGCCATAAGGACTTTCACATCATACTTGTAGCAGTAGGATTTACTACAGTGGCACGTAACTGCTCTATTAACAGCTCAAGCTGAGTGCTAACTACTTCCTGACTACACCGGGCTGCTCCAAACCAAGCCACTGCTGAGGATCACATCTGAAAAGCAGATCACAGCCGTCATGAGTAGGGTGTCACGAAATAGCAGAGATCCTAATCATCGATAGACATCCAATAATCACATCAATACGTGGTCACTCCTTTCAGTCTGAGGTGCCAAGTTTTTATCTGCTACTCTTTATGTAAAGCAAAGAGGGAAAAGGCAACAGAAATCGGAATTGTGTGGTGTTCAAACTTCCCGTTTCAAATATATCTGCATCCATGAATAGTTCTCTCCACAGAACAACATCCTGTGCATTTCTAAGGAAGCTGCTTCAGCAGAAAGGGATAAAATGTAAGGAAATGTCTCTATATGTACACATATCACTTCAGGATGTCCCCTCATGTATTCCTCACACTCTTTGAAGAGAGCCTGGCTGTAAATTATTACCCTGTGGCTTTGCCCAAAGGGTCGGAGCTCCTCAGAAAGGATGGCAGGCAGCACATGAGCAAGGGTATGCAGCTGTGGGGAGTATGGGGGCTTGGTACTGCCCGAAAACCCCTGCAACTCTGTGCCACTTCCTCTCGTCTTGTGCTGGGCCCCTAGCTGGGAATTCAGAGTTTTATTCTGCCACCAGATTTGTAAGAAAGATTTTCAATATTGGCGTTTTTTAGAATGGTTGGTTCTGAATGTTTCAAAAGGTAAACCAGCAGCACATCCCCTCGCTCTCCTTGGCAAGGTGGGTTTTCACGCCAGGCTCCTCCATCCTCGAGCCTCAGCAAGGCCTCAGGTACCACCTCTCCAGCCAGGCAGGCACAAATGCACCAAATCCCCCGTGCCAGCTCACACGCCCTCCGCTGTGGTCCAGCTTCTGCTCTGTGCTGTCTTCCCTCTCCACAGTTATCCAACAGCAAAAATCCTCTGCCTCAGCTGAAACTGCAAAGTGGCTGCATTCTGCCTGAAATAAATTAGGACCACGTGCCCCAATTGCAGGGAAACAAGGATCTGCTGCTTAACAGAAACCACCATCTCATCTCCCTGACTCCTTGCTGGAGGCAAAAATAACTGATGTAACCACCTAGCTGCTGTTAATGTATTAAAAGCAAGGCTGTGCGTGTGGTGAACGGAAAGATCCAGAGACCCTGATGTACCACACTAGCGGCAAAACAACCTAGAGGCAACCTCATTTGCAAAAACACTTTTTTGCACAATCAGTTATGGTTATAGTTATTAATAAAATAAATGCTACTGATGTACAGAAACTCTAAAAGCCATGGCAACGTGCTTAAATGTGCGCTTTGTTCCCCGCCGGTTTCAGTGGCACCAAAGAGAAGAGCCAGTATGAGTGTCCCACCGCTCTTGAGATAAGAGCGGAAGAAGTGGGTGCAGTAGGCACATATGCAGTGGGGTACAGAGAGGGATGCTGACAGGAAACGAACTGTACAGTCATGATCAAAGAAACAGCTTTAAAAAGAAAAATGGCAGTTTCCCCCCCTAAATTACTACATTACTTCTTGGTACTGAGATTAAAGAGTTACAGATTGACGGCTTCTGATACAATTCAGTTTTGTGTTTTCCACATTTTAATTGCAAAACACTCAGGGTATAAAACAGACGCTTCCAACACCCAAATGGTGAAACAGCTTTCCCACAGCTGTCCAGACACACCAGCCCACTAAAACTGCTACTCACGGGACCCAAGCTGGCTTCCTCCGCCTCGTAGATGTAATGATCGAGCGAAATGAAGTAATAGCCAGGTTCCACCTGGTTGCACTGACGTCCAAACATGTGGGGCCGGCATTCGCACTGGCCAGACTCACTGGAGCAGCTAAAATGGAAGAGCATTGAATTTACAACATTTACAACGTTATCTTGGCCATGCTGAGACAGTGCTAGAGCTGTCTTCTGCTTTGACGTTTTAAGTGACGCAGGAGGAGAAATGCTTCTGGACACAGCTGCATCTACACTCGAGATGTTCTCGGGCTCTGCAGCTGGACCATCTGCGCTGCTAAAATGGCAGCACGGTCCCGGGCACAGTCTTGGTTCAAGTCAACTTATCATTCTCCCAAACAACTCCTAGGCTCAGACTGGGAGCAAGCACGGGCAAGGGACCGTTTCCAGTAGGCAGTTTGCATGTGGTTTCCTCTGTTTAGATGATGAGAGGATTTCATGCTACGGATGCAGGCGGTTCCCTGGAGCCAGACGGCAGTCCTGGGAGAGCTTCACTTCTACCACAGACGTAGCCAAGAGGCATGTCTGTCCAGCAAGCCGAGGGCAGCCTTCGGCTCCAAGCCTGCAAGCCACGCAAGCAGCTTATCTGTTCGTATGGGCTCAGGCAAAGTAAGAACATGCATGACGCTGCACGCCCTGGGTTCGTCGAGCTGCTCTCGTACGCTGCAAAGCACATCCCAGGAGGTCACCCACCAGCAGCTATGCCCAGGGGAAAACCATACCTGGCAGCTTAAAGCAGCAATAGCAGTAGGACGGACACAGCCAAAGACATGGCACAGAAAGAGCCATCGCTGGGGAATGAAGAAGGTCTGTCCAGGGTGACAGACAGCAGCTCCACTTCCTTCACACCAAGCCGTTTTCTTTCCTCAGTAGAGCTCTATCTCCAAATTACCTTTTGGTGGTTTTGTTGTTCCCAGAGAGTCCACCACACATTATGAAGAACCCTTGGGCAGGCTACATTTTTGCATGCGCCCAGTCACTTTTTCACAGGAAGGTTTCTCGGTCCATCAAACTATGTCCCTTTCTCTAAATTTGAGTTCAATTTAGAAACATTTTCTGAAGTCAAACTCCTCTGGTTTCCGTGGAAAATCTCCAGGCTTCTCAAGCCCCCATTCTATGAGTAATTTTTAACCGAAACCACTTTTGTAATTGCAGAGATCCACTTCAACCTTCACTTTGAGATGCCAGAAGTGCCCCCAGTGCCCCAGAAGAGGAGCTGGGAAGTTTCCCCTCCGGGGACGGTGATGACTCCCCGCCTGGCTTACAGCACAGGGGTGAATTCCGGCGATGAATTCCAGGCGACGTGTGGCTGCCCCAGGCACTGCATCCCACACCCTGAGCCGGCAATTCCGCAGCTGCGGAGAGGAGCCCCAGGGAGGGCGAAGATCCCACTTCCCGCTGATGCTCCGGAGCAAAGCCGGGAGCTGGGCTTCGAGGTACAGCTGCTCCCTGCCTGTGCCAGGATGCTGCATGTCCCCTCCCAACGTGGTTTTGCAATCACTGGGCTCAGCGCAAGGGAAACAGGCTGTAAAGCCGTACCCCAAACCCCCGGAAGCAGCTGCACCAGGGGAGCTGTTATGATCTGTGCGCAGGGAGCAAACACGGAGGAGTAAATAATCACTAACAACCACATTGCTGTCTGCCAAAGCGTAATAATTCACTCGGGAGCAGAGGGGAGAGATGGCCTGTGGCCATTCCCACGGCGATCCCCACTGCAGACAGGGTGTCCGCAGGCTGTGACGACCTACAGGAGTCATACCAGGACCAGTCCCTGACTCCCCCGGTGTGGTCCCACAGGCTCCGGTGGGAAATGGTTTGTCCACCCCATCAGGAAACTTCTGTGGCTTCAGACAAACGCAGGACATTTCAAACAGTTTGTGGTGGCAAGTGGCAGGGAAAAAAAAAAAAAAAGGAGCAAAGAAACATGCTGCTGTTGAAAAGCCTGGGGTCGGACACGCACCTAACACACAGAAAACTGCTCTGGTCGGAGCAGCAGTCAGGCTACCCAGCACCCCTCTGATTAGGCATTTGAGCCAGGACTTTCCATACTCTTACTGATGCATGCATCTTCAAAACCTACGCTTTCCTCTGAAAAACCTACACCTCCCCAGTGGGCACTTCCAGCTCCCCATCCCACCCCAGGGGCAACACAGCAGTACCATGCAGCTAGCGCGCTTCCCCCAGCGCTGGTGGACAGACAGACAGACTAGCAAAAGGGCCACTTTGGGAGCAAACCAAGAACCAGCCCGATGGCCCATCCCACCGCTTTGATCCTGTGAGAGTAAAGCTTTGACACAGACCATACCCCGGGTCACAACCAAGGCAGAGCTCAAGCCACGGTTGGCTCCTAACCCTGGCTGACCGCAGGCAGAGCTACACTAAAAACAGTTTTATGTGTTCAGCTGCACCGGTGGCACAAACGGAGGCTGCTCAGCATAGAAAAGACATGGATGCCTCTGTCACCCCTTGCTGCAATGAAGATCTGCCACTTTCTGGAGCAGAAAGATGGTCCCAAACATCCTCCTCCAGAGCACATTAAGCCCTGGACGTTGTGGTTGCAAACAAAGCGAAACTCACTGAGGTGAATGATTACAGGAGAGTAACCGGGCTGAGACTCACTTGTTGTTCAGCGCTCCTCCCTGGTCGCAGTCGCACGGCCGACATCCATCCATGTCATTGCTCAGGCCCCAGTGCTCAGGCTGCGGAAGGAAACATCACCAGCGCTGTGACTCGGTGCCAGCTGAACCCCATCTACACCAAAGGCACATTTTGAAATATCCAGCATAAGCTACCCCAGACTGCCTCCCAACTCATGAATCCTGCTCCCTTGGTTGTGGGTCTGACCCCACAATCACCAGCACAACCCCCCCACCTGCTCTCCTCCACCCTGCTGACCATCTCAAGGGCTTGAGGAAAAACCCCACATCTTTCTGCCTAGCTTTAGAAGTAACATTCAGGAAGATCCAAGCTCAGAGACCTCACTCCTACCACACCATTTACACCAGTTTGGGCTCCTGACCCATGAAGAGCTTGGAAAATCACAGCCCAGTATGTCACACCACAGCACACAGCTGCGCGTGGGGCTTTGTGCAGGGCGCTGCCCTTGCAGGGCTGCTACTCTGCAACTCGCTTGTTGGAAAGACAGCCAGACTTGTTTAGCGTTTCCATGCAGTTCACTGTTAGATAAGACAGCCTGTCAGTGTTTATACAAACACATCCAGTTATCTGACAGTGTGTTTCTATAACGCTCCAGCAAGCATAAACACTGTATGGAAATGTACACGTATGAAATAATCCCTGCCTAAAGTAACAGCCTGTACAGCAAGCAGTTTTTTTGGTAACACTGCTTCTCTGACCATTCTGTCTTTCACCCCAGCGAGGGCTCCAGCAAAGCTGCCCCAGATCCCTCATTTTCACAGAGCAATTCACTCCTTATGGTCCCAGGAATCAACCTAGATGCTGTTGCCCGCCTTGACGTGCCTCCCAGCTCTCCGTGACACGGCGTGCTTCATGGCTCCTGGCACCCCGAGATGCCCGCTCAAGCCCGAAAGCCAGGTGCCCGCTCGCAGGCAGGCAGAGATGGCGGCCAGCATCTTGCTCCACGCTTTCCTAACGCCAGCATCTCCTCATTTATTTTACAGTAAGCTACTTACCAGGCAGCGATCGCACTGCTTTCCTGTCACCAGGCGCTTACAATAGCAGTTTCCTGTCTCCGAATCACAAGGATTCCCCCCGGGATGGGTACCCAGAGGATTACACGCACAAGCTAGATTGGGAAGTACAAACAGGCAGGTCAAAACACAGGATCGGAGTTACATGTTGACAGTATTCAGCTGAAATATTCACATTAAAGCTTCCCCTGAATTCCCCAGGACAAAGATTAATTGCACACTTTGCCCACCACCCATCACAGTAAAACTTCCCTGGCTTAGAGACTTATAACTAAAAAAAAAAAAATAGGGAAAATTCTGCTATTTCCACTGAATACACTAGAAGGATCAGTTGGGGAATGGATTTTTAAGGGCGGGTGGACTCCATGCTCCAGCAAGTCTACAAGAATGTTTTTCCTTTAGCAAAAACATGAAACAAAGGGAAAAAAACCACCCCACAAACCAACTTCTCCCGGCTCTAACAGCTCCTCAAAGAGCTTTTGATCACACATAAAGGAACATATGTTTTTACTCACACTGACAACCCGCTGGGTCATTGGCACTCAGGCCATAGAAACCTTCTTTGCAGAGGTCACAACGCTCCCCTTCGACAAATAATTTACAACGGCATTGTCCGGCAATGAGGCCAGTGGAGAAATCAGTGTAGCGATCGCAGATGCCACCATTTTGGGAGCCAGCTGGGTCACAGTTGCAAGCTAAGAAGGAAGCATCGCGTGTGTTTTATTAACTGCTACAAAAGAAAAGGCCAAGTCTCACACTGAATTATTTAAATTCAGCTGCTGTGTAGAGAGAGTGTATTGTTCCTGCAAGTATTAGACATTGGTTGAACACATACTGACCGACAAATTTCCAGATTCTCGAAAACAAAACCAAACCAGGCTCACTCAGGACCTCCAAGACAACCACCTTCCCTCAAAGGGCTTTGTTCAGGAGCATGTCATTGGCCAAAAGAAGGCCACTAAACAGTAAACTCTCCAGGGAACGCCCTGGAAGGCCACAGCAGGGATGCCACGGCCATTCCCACCCCGAGGAGCAGCGCTGCACTTACGCTCACAGACGTCGGGGTCCCGTAGATCTCTCTCAGGGTGCTGGAAGTAGAAGGGCTTGCACTGCTCGCAGTTGCGCCCTACGGTGTTGTGCTGGCAGTCGTCACAGACCCCTCCGCTGGTGTTCCCCGTCGTCATGTACACAGCCATGTCGAAGTGGCACTGGCTGGAGTGGCCATTGCAGTTGCACTCTGTGACAAAGACAGAAAGCAAAGTAAGAGTCTGCTCCCAGGAGAGATGCAAGTCTGCAGGAAAAACACACCAAAGTCAACCAAAAAACATGCAGGACTATACACTGTCACAAGTTCCCAAGTAACAGAATGTAATGCTCACATGAGACTGCAGTCCTGTGTTTTACTTAAACTCACTTTTGCATGCATTACTATTGCGGCCTTCAGCAGGGCGCCAGGGTAAGTCATGGTAGAAATCCAAACACTGTTCACAGTTTAACCCTTTGGTATTATGTCTGCACATGCAGTGCCCATGGACCTGTCATGAAAAAAAGAAAAATAAAAAATAAAGAGGAATATAGTTGGTTATAAAAAGAGGAAGGGGAAAAAAAATGCTCCCAATACTGCAAAATATAGCTAGTACATAATGCCTGTACTTTTCGAGTCTTTAATGCACGTAACTGCACGTAGGAAGACATAAAGGGCCACAGAGCACCCTTCACCTGCCAAGGTAAGGAAGTCCTCTACAAATTTGTCCTTCTTTTCTTACCAGAACTAACGCCTGAATAAATGTTTTCAGACATGAACAAGGAGAGCACAGTTCCACCTCAGTAATCACAAAAGCCTCTTGGACCTAAAAGTTAGCTGTTTATTAGCTGTTAATTAGCTATTAACATGCATCTAGTTATATCAGCACATGAGTAGCCCAGTGCCTTCTTTCCAGCCCTATCCCGTTCTCATAGTAAAGACAACAGACAGTTTGGATGGGTTTTATCCGTCAGCCCCAGACTCTGCCTCTACATGCACAGAGCAAGCACTAAGCAGACCAACAGTGACTGCGTGGCAGCCGCTGCCTCAGCCGATGGGGACTGCAAGCACTGGAGCCCTGATTTTGCAGTCAAGGCCAGTCTTGCTGCTGCTCCGGTGGAGACACTCACGAAAGCGCAGGGCAACGGAGCATGCCTGCATCCCACAGCCCTGGGGCAACCCACACAACCTCCCCGCAGGCCTCCACATTTCCATCCAGTTAACAACTCACTCATTAACAGGCGTGCTATAACTACTTGTCAGGCAAAACTCATGGGGAAAACCAGAATCCAGAAGGGATGTGCCACTTGTGCAGCAGTGTACAGCAGCGAAGGCAGCAGGATTTTCCTTCAGAGCCTGCTGATTAGGGCTACAGCCTCCACTTCTCAGCTGATAACGACCGCTACAAATGCAGGTAGAGTTTGATTCACAAAGGTGGTTCATCTTTTGATGCCTCTATTCACTTCAGTTTTAGGGTAACCACGTCAACCCACACACCCATCTCTGGCCCCACAGGGTTACACTTCCTTCCTGCATTC